CGCTTAATTTTCAACGCTAGAAATTTTTCTGACATCTCTATCTCAAATCAAAGTGTACAGTAAACCGCTTAATTTCAATGCTAGAAATTTTTCTGACATCTTTATCTCAAATCAAAGTGTACAGTAAACATCTTGATCTGAAATCAAAGTGTACAATAAACCTCTAAATTTTCACTGCTAGAAATTTTTCTGACATCTTGATCTGAAATCAAAGTGTACAGTAAACCGCTTAATTTTCACTGCTAGAAATTTTTCTGACATCTTGGTCTCAAATCAAAGTGTACAGTAAACCGCTTAATTTTCACTGCTAACAATGTTTCTGACATCTTTATCTCAAATCAAAGTGTACAGTAAACCGCTTAATTTTCACTGCTAGAAATTTTTCTGACATCTTTATCTCAAATCAAAGTGTACAGTAAACCGCTTAATTTTCACTGCTAGAAATTTTTCTGACATCTTGGTCTCAAATCAAAGTGTACAGTAAACTGCTTAATTTTCACTGCTAGAAATTTTTCTGACATCTTGATGTCAAATCAAAGTGTACAGTAAACCGCTTAATTTTCATGACTAGAAATGTTTCTGACATCTTTATCTCAAATCAAAGTGTACAGTAAACCGCTTAATTTTCACTGCTAGAAATTTTTCTGACATCTTGATCTCAAATCAATGTGTACTGTAAACCGCTTAATTTTCATGACTATAAATGTTTCTGACATCTTGATCTCAAATCAAAGTGTACAGTAAACCGCTTAATTTTCATGACTAGAAATTTTTCTGACATCTTGATCTCAATCAAAGTGTACAGTAAACCGCTTAATTTTCACAACTAGAAATTTTTCTGACATCTTGATCTCAAATCAAAGTGTACAGTAAACCGCTTAATTTTCACTGCTAGAAATGTTTCTGACATCTTGATCTCAAATCAAAGTGTACAGTAAACCGCTTAATTTTCACTGCTAGAAATTTTTCTGACATCTTGATCTCAAATCAAAGTGTACAGTAAACCGCTTAATTTTCACTGCTAGAAATTTTTCTGACATCTTGGTCTCAAATCAAAGTGTACAGTAAACCGCTTAATTTTCATGACTAGAAATTTTTCTGACATCTTTATCTCAAATCAAAGTGTACAGTAAACCTCTTAATTTTCACTGCTAGAAATTTTTCTGACATCTTTATCTCAAATCAAAGTGTACAGTAAACCGCTTAATTTTCAATGCTAGAAATTTTTCTGACATCTTTATCTCAAATCAAAGTGTACAGTAAACCACTTAATTTTCACGACTAGAAATTTTTCTGACATCTTGATCTCAAATCAAAGTGTAATGTAAACTGCTTTGCTTAATTTTCACTGCTAAAAATTTTTCTGACATCTTGATCTCAAATCAAAGTGTACTGTAAACCGCTTAATTTTCACAACTAGAAATTTGTCATAATTTGATAACTATAGTGTTCATGATGACAACAAATCTTGACAAAAGTCACTGACACTCTGTTGTCATAGAAACCCACAGAAACTTTCACTGCTACAAAATTTCACAATTTTTTACTGACTCACAAAATAAAAACAGTGAACTATATTTCCTGTATTCAGAGAGGACGTCTGGAATTGTAGTCAAAATAATATTTTTTATCTGAGATATTCACAAATACAGTTGTATGAATCATACATAATATTCATATTTTTATTTATTTAGATATCTAACATACACCATACTGGCTGTACATCTCTGGATGTGTCTCCCGATGGCAGACATTTATCTACCACTGGTGATAAAGTAGTCAAAGTATGGGACTATCATATGAGACTGGATCTCAATTTCCAGGTAAAAGTTATACTGAACATTGATTATAAATTAATGTTCTGATTCAAGTATCATTTTTACCACATCTGGAGAGCTAATCACAATTTTTGAGTCAATACAAAGCTACATACAAGATTGTTTCTGATTGGCTACTCAACCCTAATAATTAACAGTTAGACCAATCAAATGGCAGATTATTTGTTGATAGGTTTTGTTGACGAATCAAATTCTGCCTTGTATATGTGCTTCAACTCAACTACAATATTTAAGGTAGTAGAACATATCAATGACTTGTATATAATATGGGAAATTCACATTCATCCCGATGCTTGTCTGCACAGCTTCAGTTTGTTTGAATCACATGCAAAGTACTCTGATTTACTCTGCTTTAACATAGTATTTACCTTGCCATGTATTCAATGTTATAATACCTGCTTTGTCTACTTACTGTAAGCAGCTACTATGAGTTTACTCTCAATCTATAATGTCTACATAAAAAAAAATGTTTGTAATTTTTATATAACAGGTGTTCATAAGCCATTCTCAGAATTTGAAGAAACTCTGCTTCACACCTGATAGCTTGGCATTGATTAGTGTTGGTAAAGTTGTATTTTTATGGGATTTTTATGGTACTGGTAGAGATGAAGTACTTCCTGTAGAGTAAGTATACCTTTGTCTTTTCAGTTGTTTTTCACTTTAATATTTGTTCTATGTGACAACATGAAATTTTAACACAGTGACTTCCCTGAAAGGATGAGAATATAGGACTTATTGTCTCCACATATAACCTTGAAATATCTTAAAGAAAGTGTGCCACCACAGTTGAAATGGAGAAATGTCAGCCAACTTATCATCTTATTTCAATGAATCTTGGTGCATAAATACTCCAAGACAATGCGATGATCTAATTAGTTTTGGATTTTCATGTTGCTTATTGTTTGAATGACTAATCTTAAATTTTGAATTCATTTTTAATACGTCTCCAATACTTCTCAACACACAAGAGTTCTTTTTATGTTTTCTTTGATTTTAGTGTTATATTAGGAAAATAATTTTTTG